CCCAAAAATATGAAGATAGTGTAATGAGCCTCTGGGACAAATCCGAATTATGGGGTGCCAGAAGAAGAGAGAGAGACAAGATACTGAAAACATATTTGAAGAAATAATGACAGAAACTTCCCCTACCTGGTGAAAGAAATAGACTTACAAGTCCAGGAAGTACAGAGAACCCTAAATAAGATGAATCCAAAGAGGACCACACCAAGACACATCATAATTAAAATGCCAAGGGCAAAAGACAAAGAGAGAATCTTAAAAGCAGCAAGAGAAAAACAGTTAGTTACCTACAAGGGAGTACCCATATGACTGTTAGCTGATTTCTCAACAGACACTATGCAGGCCAGAAGGGAGTGGCAAGAAATATTCAAAGTGATGAATAGCAAGAACCTACAACCAAGAATACTTTACCCAGCAAAGCTATCATTTAGAATTGAAGGTCAGATAAAGAACTTCACAGACAAGAAAAAGCTAAAGGAGTTCATCACCACCAAACCAGTATTATATGAAATGCTGAAGAGTATTCTTTAAGAAGAGGAAGAAGAAAAAAGTAAAGATAAAAAATATGAACAACAGCCGAAACTGGTTTGGCTCAGTGGATAGAGCGTCGGCCTGTGGACTGAAAGGTCCCAGGTTCGATTCTGGTCAAGGGCATGTACCTGGGATGCGGGCACATCCCTGGTGGGAGATGTGCAGGAGGCGGCTGATCGATGTTTCTCTCTCATCGATGTTTCTAACTCTCTATCTCTCTCCCTTCCTCTCTGTAAAAAAATCAATAAAATATATTTAAAAAAAATATATGAACAACAAAGTGATAACAAATACATATCTATCAACAAGTAAATCTAAAAATAAAATGCATAGCCCTAGCTGGTTTGGCTCAGTGGAAAGAGCGTCGGCCTGGGGACTGAAGTGTCCCAGGTTAGATTCTGGTCAAGGGCACATGCCTGGGTTGTGGGCTCAATCCCCAGTGAAGGGTGTTCAGGAGGCAGCCAATCAATGATTCTCTCTCATCATTGATGTTTCTATCTCTCTCTCCCTCTCCCTTTCTCTCTGAAATCTATAAAAATATATTAAAAAATAAAATAAAAATCTGATGAACAGAATAAACTGGTGAATGGAACAGAATCAGGGGCATGGAAATGGAACAGACTGATGATTCTCAGAGGAAAGGGAGTGTGTGGCGGGTGCAGGAAGAGATTAGACAAAGATCTTATATGGACGCAGACAATAGGGTGGTGAGGGCCTGGGGTGGGGTGGGAACTGGGTAGAGGGGAGCTATGGGAGGAAAAAAGAGGGACATCTGTAATAATCTCAACAATAAAGATTAATTAAAAAAAACTTAGTACAGAATGGAGCTCTAGAATAAAGGCAAAAAAGAGAGAATAAAACAAGAAAACAGAATATAAGAATTGTGATCCAACACACCCATGTGCATGCACGTACAATATGTGTGTACATTCACATGTGTATGCACACATGTACACAGAAGAATGCTGGGAAATCTCAAGGACTTTAAAGTTCCTAAGCAAAAACAGAGCCAAAAAGACAAGCCAAAATCTAGAACATCAAATTAAAGGAAGCAAACAGAACAGGAAGACCCAGAAAGGAGGGAAGTAAGCAGGCTTGTGAGGGGCCCTCTGTGCCTCTCACCCCAATTCACCAGCAACAATAAAAGACCACTTTCCAGTCCTTTATGCTACATTTCTAAACCATTCACGTTCTTTCAATTTCCCTTTGAGATCAATCAACAGGTAAAGTCTTTGAAAACTAGAAATTAGGTGTATACAGGGTGAGCAATATTAGGTTTACAGTTGTGTGTATATGAAAGAGTTTATTCTTGTATTATTCATTAACTATTGTATTATTTCCCATATAAACAACTTTAAACCTCATTTACCCCCTTCCTGTATGTTTTTAATTTAAAGGTATTCAGAGATATGGTTTTTATATAAAGATTTCCAGTCATCTATCTGTCTGGTGCAACAAAATGTGCTGACTGGGTAGGGTGGGGAGCCTGCCTAGTGCCCTGGGAAGAAGATGAAGGGGTGAGGTCAATTGGGCACCCTTCCTCTCTGGCCCAAGGCTCATTCTGTCTTTTTAATGGTTTGTTTTGAAATAACAAGGTTCAGCTAAGAGAAGAAAGATCTTTATTCTCTGTACTCTGTGGCTCAAAAAGAGACTTCTAATACAGATTTGGAGCCTTTATATAGTCAGCTGATAGCCATCAAATGACCCTACTGGAACAATATAGTTTAATGGGCAGAGCACCAGGCAGGCATTAGGAGTCTGGACTTCTCTGAGCTTTGATTAGTGCTGGGCCCAGCAATGAGGTCTCTGTGTGGCCTTCTGGGGATGCAATAGCAGAGAAGCAATCAGATTCGACATTTTAGACTTCAGATTTTAAAAGGATAATTTCCTCCCCTCAAATAATGAATATTACCAAGTGCTCCAAGAAGAAAACAGCAGAATCTGAAAGGGACCTATTTCTGTTATCTAAATGTTCCTCCTGGAGCTTGATGGGAGTGAGGCTGGAGGACTCTTGCTCTCTGCCTGGGTATATAGTGACTCCCTTTGGAATGGATGTTTCTCTCATGCTTCATTGTTAGGGCAGTAGCAGCCTCTATGTGGTGAGCAGAACCCACAGGAGAAGTCTAACGTTTAGAAAAAATAACATAAGCTGAAAAAGAAATGATGAGTTGATGAGAATCCAGTAGCAGGGTTATCAGGTGTTTGATGGGGGCATTTCATAATTCAGAAGAAACATTGAGTTTTATTTATTTCATATTCCCTTAGAATTTGTTGGAATTTTAAATCTGAAAGGCTAGTAGTTGGGAGTTCAGGAACACAGAAATGAAAAGAGCCAACTACATTTATCATTCAAGCAATGGGGATAAAGAAAACAAAACTAGACATATGAGGTAATCAGTGTGGCAACAGTATCTTAAACTGGGAGGGAAGGGTGAATATACTTTTAAATAAATTGATTTTGACATTTCCTTCCAGGAGATTTTGAATTAAAAAACAACAACAACCCAACCACATATTTTCACACATTGAGATTCACTTAATAAAAATGATATAAACAGTCCTCGCTGGTTTGGCTCAGTGGATAGAGCATTGGGCTGTGGACTGAAGGGTCCCAAGTTCGATTCCCGGTCAGGACATGTGCCTGGGTTGTGGGCTCGATCCCCAGTGTGGGGCATGCAGGAAGCAGCCAATCAATGATTCTCTCTTATCATTGATGTTTCTCTCTCTCCTTCTCCTTTCCTCTCTGAAATAAAAAAATATATATTTTTTAAAATGACATAAACAGCCTGGCTGGCGTGGCTCAGTGATTGAGCATCGTCAACCCATGAACCAGGAGGTCATGGTTTGATTCCTGGTCAGGGCACATGCCCAGGTTGCAGACTCGATCTCCAGTGTGAGGCAGCCAATCGATAATTCTCTCTCATCATTGATGTTTCTATCTCTCTCTTCCTCTCTGAAATCAATTAAAAATATTTTTTTAAAAAAAATGACATACATATCCCCCAAGAGTGTTAGGAGGCGTTAGGAAAGGAATCAAGGACATTAAACAAGAAATACGTTTTGTTAATTACAGCATGAATGGCCGTGAGTGTGGAAGTCCCTGAGAAGCTCTGGGGCACTGAAGGAATCTGTGGAGGGTGGAATCCATGGGACAATGGGGTGGGACAGAGAGACCAGTCACTTCCAACCCACCCAACGAAGCCAAGAGCCAGCCTCCTTACTGATGGAGGTTCTCTAAGAATATGGCACTATCTCATAGTAGGAATCACAGAATTATACCTTTGGATTTTAAAGGAATGAGCCAAAAAGTGATTTTCTTAAAAGGATGAGATTGTGGTAAAAAATGAGAATGATTTTTGCCAGTTCTTGGGTTTTAAGGCCACTTCTGCGACCTTTCAGAAAGCAGGAACTCCAGAAGAGGAAGTGGCAGAGGCCCCCCACCATTAACCTCAGGAGCAGCTGCTTGGCACTCCTCTTGATAAGACGTTAACTTTCCAGGAGTAAAACTGCCCAAAGTCTAGAAATGAGACTCCTGAATTGGTTATTTCTCTAATCTGATACAAATGATAAGCTTCATGCAGCAAGACATAAAAAATATTGACTTCAATATTGACTTCTTTTAAGGCAGTGGTTCTCTGACTTTAGAGGGTCTGAGAATCATCAGGAAGGTTTGTTAAAATACAGATAACCAGGCCTCACCCCCAGTTTCTGATTCGGCGGGTTTGGGTGGGGATTGATCACTTGTATCTTTAACAAGTTACCAAGTCATGATGCTGATGTGTTGGTCCTGGGACCCCATGCTGAGAACCACTGCCTTATCCTTTTCCTGTGTTCATTGAAAAGAACTGTGAAGGAAGTGCCAGGACAGAGCAAGGAGGGAAGGGCATTATTACAGGCATCTGTCAACATAGCCTCAAGCTTGGTGAATTTGGGTAGAAATCACAAGTGGCACCTTTATATGCACTTGAATCTCTTAGGGGAAATGTGAGCACATCCTAATGAAAATGGTCGAGGCTGAGTTCTTCAGATGTTTGGTTCTCGAGTGTGGTTAGCAGTGAGCTTCCTGGTAGATATGACACCTCCAACTTCTGAGGGATGAGATCCAAGGCAGAGGTCATGTTGGAGTGTGTGTGTGTGTGTGTGTGTGTGTGTATTGGTTGTCAAACAACCAAAAAGTTATTAGAAGGACCAGAATGCTGATGTGAGGTTGATGGGTTGGGGCAGGTGAACTTTTATTATAAAAAATTAAGATAACCCTGGGCAGCAAAAGCTACCTCAGATCTTCTTTGGAGTGTATATGGTAGTGGGGAGGACCCAGTATGCTGCTCCATTATGAGATAGGAAAGAGCCTGTGTTTGCCATTTGGTTAACAGGTTGATTTCTTCTTTCATTTGTGAGCAGGGACTAATGAGAATGGGTGGGGAAAGGGTGTCAGCAGGGTTAGTGTCAGCAACAGATGCTGCTATACATACCACCCAGATGCAAGTCGATGAGGTCACTGTAATAAGACTCTCCCCAATAGTCTACAACAAGGAATCGATGAAGAGAGAGTTACTGGATCTGATAAAACCCTCCTGTTCCCCCCTACCCAAAGCAATCAATAGCAAAAAGCATAAGAAACAAAGAGAGACAGCAAGAGGGAGAAGAGAAATAGCTGCAAAGCATGCTTCTCTCTGAAAGTGCACACATGCTGAGCCATATATTTCCTGGTGGTGGGAGGGGGTGTTCACTAACCACAGGTGACAGAGTTAATGGCCAATGTCAATGTGATTCCTGTTTATAACTCCAATAATTAGTTAGGACAAAAGGCCTTGGATTTGTTGGGAATTCTGGCCCTGCTAGGACTGAACCTTATCTAACTAAGAAGATTTAAAAAATTCAAGGGCAGGTCAGGGCAACTACTTCCTTAGTTACTGAATATTAGAGACTCCAGGCTGAGCTCTGAAGGCAAGATGTAAACCACCTAAAAAAGCTTGGCAAGGACACCAATCCTTAGGGTTAAAGGCAGTCAGAGCTCTCTCAAGAATTCACACATGTGACCCCCACTGGTGAGTATACCAAACTCCTTGCAGAACCACTTTTGCTAGATGGGTTGAGAGGAAGGAGATGCTCTTTCTTTTGAGGTTAGACCCTAACTTCAGCCAGCCTTCTCTCTAAAAGCAGGAAATGAGCTGTGGCTATTTGCCTGAAGGCTTTTTGAGGTTTGCTGGCCACGGCACTCCTAGCTTTTTAGCTCCATGTGGCTGTCTAGTAAGGATGTTATGTTCTTCACATGCCTGAGATACAGAGACTGGGCTGTGCTGAGGGACTGGACTTGGGCAGAATCATAAGCAAATGCAGAGCACAATAAAGGTCAGCTGCTATTTCTCTCCCTTTCCTCCACATTTCACAATCTGAATGCTAATCCTAGCAACCTTTTGTTTCCTAACAGGGTTCCCCCTTCAAGAATGGACACACCAGCCCTAACCGGTTTGGCTCAGTGGATAGAGTGTCGGCCTGCAGACTGAGGGGTCCCAGGTTCGATTCCGGTCAAGGGCATGTACCTTGGTTGCGGGCACATCCTTAATGGGGAGTGTGCAGGAGGCAGCTGATCGATGTTTCTCTCTCATCGATGTTTCTAATTCTCTATCTCTCTCCCTTCCTCTCTGTAAAAAGTCAATAAAAAAAAGAAAAAAAGAATGGACACACCAGAAAGTAGAATGCAGACCTGGAATGGTTTTCCAAGTCATGCTCAAGGTTGATCCAATGGTTTAAGTTTGAATCAGGGTTCCAAGAACAAAAAGGGCGGGCTTTCCAGATGCTCCAGACCAGAAATCATGTCAGTCTTAGTCTTGCTCTGGGCCGGAAAGCTCTGAACCTAACCCTGGTGGTCTGGATATTCATGAGCCTTGGGTAAGTTGAGACCAATGGATGGCAGGTCCATATCAGATCTCTCCTCTGGCTAATTGGGCAGTCTGACCCCCTCAGCCAGAGAGACCAAACAAGTTGACCAGATATATGCCCCCCAGGGAAGGGGCTGATGACCATTGCTGGAAGACTCCAGCTTGTCATGCTATACTAAGATTAGCTGGGAGCAACTGGACTAACAAAAGGAGAGAAATGCTGAAGCAGCAGAGGAAGAAGCAGCCAGTGTGTACAGATTTGCCTCAAAGATGATCTCTGCCAAGTAGGAACAGGGCCACTGGGGCATCTGACAAAAGGGGGGCCTTGGAAGTGATGTGCTTAAATAAGACAAGGAAAAAAATATATTTGGAAATATATTCTTATGGTAAGAGCTATTATATTCTTAGAATTTCCCAAATGCATCTTGAGAAAATCTCCCAATGGGGCTGCTGAAGCCTGTCTTTATAAACAGAATAGATGTTTATGTATTTGGATGGAGGTTTCTGGCTAAAGCCTTGCTTGGAAGAGTATGGACTACAATAGTGGTTTTGAAACTGTTCTGTGGAATCCTAGGGCTTTTCAAGTGCTATTCCAGGAGTCTCCCAAATACCTGATTCACAAATACTTTTACCTTATTTTAAAAAACTTAAATAAGATACTCCATGTTCAAATGTTTGATATGCCAACTTTCAGCCCACTGAAGACCATCAACACATTAATTTGTGCTACCAGGTAAAATGGCTTTTGTGAAGCCCCCAGGACCAAGTTTCTTCTGCCTCTTTGTGCAAGTATCTGTACGCCCTGTAAATGTGTTAGAGAAGAGGACATTTATTCATTCATTGACATTCTGGCAAGTAGAGTACTCCTGTACAAGTGTACAGGTCAGCGTCCCGATAGAGTTCTCTCTCAGCCTCAAGCAGCTTCTGTCACAATGAGGTCCTCTAGGTGTGTAACACACATGCCACAATATCATAGCATAGTTGGGTTTGTGTTCATTGTATATTTGGGAGCTTTTATCTGAGATCTACTCTTTATGAAGAATATGAACTACTATTATATTTGTCAGTGATTTGCCTGTGAAAACAATTTCCAGTACTCTATTTAAGTGTCAAGCATCTGCATCATTTAAACTATGTATATCCTGAGATCTCCAGGTGAGCTGTTAAAAACTTACCATTTGCAGCAACTACCTCTGTGTGTCAGGATGTTCCCTACACAGGTGTGAACTGGAAGTGGAGGCAGTGCTTTCAAATTTTCAAATTTGTGTTGATTAACATTTTAAAGTAATTCTTTTTTACTTGAATTTATAATTTGGTTTGTAAAAAGGGTTCTGCTGCTAAAAACAAGTTTGAAAACCTATGACTTAGATGAAATCCTGGCTGTATATGTTTATGAAAAGAAAATTATCTAAACAGCTGGAAAGAGGAATTTTGGCAAAATATTATGCCAGTCTTCAATGGTATATTATTCTCTGATCCCTTGGTAGCCAGCAGCTTGAACCACGCAGCCTGTTGCAGAAACACTGAAGCACCATCATAGACTCAAATTGCATGGCAGCCAGCAGGCACGCAAGTGCATTACAGGAACCATCATCCCTGGGGTGACCCACCCAAACCTCTGAACCTGTGAGCAAGGAGGCACACCCTGTTGAGCTAGTCTGACTATGTGTTGGGAGATCTACCCTTCACTTTCTACTTTGGCAGCAGTAATTAGTGGGGAAGGGTAGAAGGAATGATGGGCCCAGGCTCCCTCTTGATTTCTTCTGCAAGAAGAGAAAGCAGCGAGGGCAGGGCCCTGCGAGCTGCTTATAGCAGGTTCAGGGCATATCTGGTAGGTTTGGGCCAATTTCCTCCAGGGGCTCAGGCTTAACTGAGGAGGCCAAGTCAGAGCATGCAGGACACAGAGCAAAAATAGGATGGTGGAGACATCACAGCTTCATTTGGAAGCCAGGGACCCTTTTAGGTGAACCTGAACCTCCACTCCTTGACAGAGAGCCAGTGCTTGCCTTGCAATCACACATCCCAGGCTTCTGGCTCATTGGCTCCTCAGTGGTTCAAGTACTTGCATTTCATTTGGTGACTTGGGCTTCAAGCAGTAAGTCAAGCATCAGTAAGGCACAAAACCAAGAACATCACACCCTCATCTTTTCCCCCACCCCATCTCTTCACCTGAAGGTCATCACTGAGTCAATTGTTTAACTGCAATTTCTAGGCCTTGAAGGGCCTGGAAAAACCACCTACTTCTATGTCTGACCCCTGACTTCCCCCATGTAAACTTCAGTCTTAAAGAACCCCATGGATTCATCTTTACACTAGGCACATACTGCAAGGTCACCCCATTGGTCAGTTCTGTAGCAAGACCAGATGGCAGCAACTGGTCCCATTCCTGGCTGCTTCTTATTGGCTCTTCTTTAGTTTACTGACAGTCTGCCTACCAGGAGACGTACCACAGCCCCTCTGCCACACTTGAATAAGGAAGTAATAAGGGGTTACTGCAAAATTAAGTCACTACCTCTCTTCATCCCCAGCCTCACAACTTGAATGCTTAGCCTGTGCTCTCTACAAGAGATGGAGGTTTCCACATCTAGAGACTTGTGGATTCTTGAAAAAGCAGACATCAATCACTCCATGCCTGTGTTGGAGCTACAGTTGGGGCTGGCCCCAGTGGTTTTCAGGTCTTGCACCAATAGGGATTCCTGGCGCTTGGGATTCCAGATAACTCCTTGCTTTCTCTGTGCCTAACTGTGCTTAATCCGCCCCACATGTTCCTTGGGTGGACAGTGGGTGTCTCTGCACTACACTTTGATTTTCCCCAGGAACTGCAGTCACCAAGCACAATGGCCCTCACAGTTATTTCCCAATGTCTACATAGTGCTGGCCTGCCATAGTCCTACAAGCCTTTCTACCCTGTCTTGAGTAAGCAGACTCTAGGAAATACAGAGCCTGGGCTCACACTGGGAAATCTGTGTGCTCAACCCACAGTAGGTGGTGAGTGCACTGTGGGGTGTGTGTCCTCACATACTCTGAGCAGCTTGGGCAGGAAGGGAGCCTGGAGAGCCAAAAACAGGAGGTGGCATGTGGAGAGCAGGCCAGGGGCTCTGCTTGTGCAGTTCTCTGATGGTTTCTTGTGGTACAGGTCTCCCTTATTCCCAGTTATTTTCTTCTAGAGAAAATGATGGGGTGGGAAAAGAGGAGGAGGGAAGGAGGAGAAGGCCCAGTGCTTGCCATCAACAGAGGAAGTAGACTGAGATTTCATCCCACAGGTAAATGGCAAGCTCTAAGACAGGGTGAAAGAACAGGTGTGGGCCTTGGGGCAGTTACAAACAGAGGTGCTTTTCTTTCCTTTGTTTTACAGGAAGCCCAAATCTCAGTGATGAAGGAACCCAGAGAAGCCTGCTGGAAAAGAAGCTGAGGTGATAAAAAACTAGCCCTACTATGGGGCTGGGGGTAGGGGCTTCCCTTAGGAACAACCTCCTCATAGGACAGCCCAGGCAGTACCTGCTTCCCCGCGGAGCGCCTTCTCCACAGCAACACCTCTCTCCTCCAGCTGTCGCTGCCTCTCCTCCACCTGCTCCAGCTGCCGCTGGATGATCTGTGGGAACAAAGCAACAGGAGACCCAGCCCTCTCATCTCCTAACCTTCAGGAGGCCAACAACCTGCACACACACAGAGGGGAAAAAACTAACATGGTAAAAAATTTGGAAAGGCTCTAGGTTAATGGGCATCATGCCCAGTGTGTGAAGAACATGTCTTCAGGGCCCATCATCAGTCAGCAGCATGTATATGGGTGCACATCAAGGAATGACCAGCCTCTCTCGGGGCAGTTCAAAGAGAGGAAGTGGATTAAATTCCTGCAAGAAGTAATTAAATACTACAGCCTAGGACAGGGGTGGGCAAACTTTTTGACTCGAGGGCCACAATGGCTTCTTAAACTGGACCGGAGGGCCGGAACAAAAGCATGGATGGAGTGTTTGTGTGAACTAATATAAATTCAAAGTAAACATCATTACATAAAAGGGTACGGTCTTTTTTTTTTTTTTAGTTTTATTCATTTCAAAACGGGCCGGATCCGGCCCGCGGGCCGTAGTTTGCCCATGGCTGGCCTAGGACCTTTCTGCTTCTTCATTTTTTTGGTATTAATCCTCACCTAAGGATATTTCTTCCATTGATCCTTAGAGAAAGTAGAAGGGGGGGAGTGGAGAGAGAGAGAGACATTGTTGGTTGCCTCCCACATGCACCCCCCAACCAGGGCTGGGGATCGAAACTGCAACCCAGGTATGTGCCCTTGATCAGGAATCAAACCCGCAACCCCTCGGTGTGTGGGCCATGCTCTAGCCCCTGAACCATACTGACCAGGGACCTTTCTGATGGTGATATTGTTAAAGCATTAGCAGGGGTTCTTGGACACTACTGCAGACACCCTCTCTCTACAAGATTAAAAATAAAGAAGAAATCTAGAATGGAGTACCCAGCCAGAATCCGCAGTGCGAAGTTCCTGCGTGCTACGTGGGGACTAACAATGGGCAATCAGAAGAACATTCAACCCCCAAAGCAGCAGCAACCAGTGGAGTATCAGTGCAGGTAATGTGCATATGGAATAATGTGCAAGACAAGGACTAAAAGACTGGTGATTTTAGATGCTTGATGAAACATGGAATTCAGAGCAATACTTCGTTGGTATTTGGGTTTTCTGTTAATGTTTCTCATTGTATAGCTTTTGATTAGTGTACTAATCTCTATGAATACAACCAGATAGAAATGAGTTAATTAAAAAACCATATTATATTTAGGTATCTTTTTAAGACTTTGTATAAAGAAATTATTTAGTCCTCACCACCCCCAATCTAGAATGGTCTAGGATCTCTGAGGCCTGCAGACAGAGGCTGATGACTAGAACACTACTCTGACCTCTAAATCCCAGGCCTATCAGAGGCTGTCAGGCCACTGATTGCCTCAATAATTATTCTTACAATTGAACTAGTTGACTTTAAAATGATTATTCCAGAGTAAGGAATTTAGAAACTCAAAGCTTGGCTCTTCCCTTCCTACCCAAAACTCCACAAAATCAAAGTTTCTGTAGTTGTATCAAGCCAGGGGTTTGTGACCTGAGCCTTTGGGGCTGTCCTCTCAGGGAATAGGACACCCCATCTACCTCTGCTCTGCCTTCCTCTCCCTCCCTCATCATGGATGAGGAATAGCTGGTTGGAAATAAGGGTGCTGTGCTGTGGCCCCTCCTGGTTTTACCTGGGCTCGGTGCAGCCGCTTAAGTTCCTCTTGCTTGGCCTGTCTCCGAGCTGCCTTCTGCACACGCCGGGTCAGCTTGGCATTCAGTTCTTCCTCTGTGTAAGTTCTTGGCTGGAGAGAACAAGAGATTTCCTCAGTCAGGTGCCTGAGATGTTTGGGCACTGGTTGGCAAGGACATGGAGAGCACCGTTCCAGGCTGCAGAGTGCCTGCAGGGCAAACAGGCAGGCCAGAGATGTGGGAAGACTTCCAGGCTGCAGCCCTAAATGCCACAGGGTATACCTCAAGCTCCACAAGTGAGATGCTTTCCCACTGTGACAGGGACAGAAGGTTCAGTGGAGTACTGACAGAGAATTAATGCAACAAAGGGACATATGCTTCTTTATTGTTGGTATCAGCTGTTTCTCATATAAGGATGTCTGCTCTTTTTAAGACTTTTTTTAGGGTAAAAATATTGGTAAGATGTTTCCCATGCCTCCTTCTAGGATATATACAGGGAAAGAAAAATCAGGGTCCTTTCATTTTTTGTTTGGTATTAAAAACCACTTTCTTCAGATGAGCAATATTTATAAGATTCTTTTAAGAAGTAACATTTGAAGTAGAGAAAACAATGATGCTTCTATTTTAAGTCTGAGAGAATCCTAAACTGACTAATGGTCTGAAGAAGAAACTATGGACATGAACCTGCCCTGACTCTGGGTTCTGCACAGCAACCACTCAAAGGAAGGCAGGGAGCAGGGCTGTTTCAGCCAGTGCCATCAAGATCCGAGAGGCAACCAGCCAAATCCAGTGCAATTCCACAAATGGAACTACCTGAGCAATTCCACCTGCAAATGTGGGCAATGAGGGCACAAGGGAGTGTCAGATGCCTTGAATAAACTCTGGGCAATCACTGAGAAGCAAATGCTGGGGGTGGGGGTGGGGGTTGCCTCTATTCATAACACCTTCTTTATTGCTTCCAAGGAAATAAAAAAGTAGTCTTTTACAGACTTTAAAGGAGACTTCCAAATTCAACTCAGGTGTGTATTCTAGTAATCTTTATTCTAAGAGAACAAGGGATAGTGGAGAGCCAACTGAGCAGGTAGTCCCTAAGGGTGTCAGTGGTGTTCCAGTGCCCTAAACATGTCACCTTGCAGATCAGGAACCAAGGACTTGTGAATTCCCCATTCCTGCAGTGCCCAGTCCCAAAGGGCAGTCCTGTCCCCCTAGCCACTCAGACTGACACTACCACATGCACTCCAGCCAGCAAAGAGCAGGGTATGTCACCCTCCTTTTCTGTCTTGACACAGCTAAAGGAAGTTCTGCTGCTAGTGTACGTGACCGCTCCATGCACGCATGAACAGTTAGTGAGGGTATGGCTGCAGGGCTAGGACTGGGGGCTGCCCCATGGTTAATCATGGACACACATGCAACAGCGACCAGCCAACAGGAACAAGACACTACCTTTGGTGCATGTGATCTCCTGAATGCTAAGCTGTGTGGTTTATAAATTGACTTTTAAGGGGATAGCAATGGAAAACAAAACAGAATAGTAACAATAATAATAATTAAAAATAGAATAAGAGATAGAGTAAGATCTGAAGTTTAAAACAAACACAAAGACTAAAATGATTATTTTTCACCATGTCACATAGGGCTGGTAGGTGAGGAACCTGGATGTAGACTTGCAGCTGCACCTTAGTGAGTCCCACTCTGACGAAGGCCTGGGCTCACTTCTTTCTTCCTTCCCTTCCCTTCCCTCCCTTCCCTTCCTTCCCTCCCTCCCTCCCTCCCTCCCTCCCTCCCTCCTCCCTCCCTCCCTCTCTCCCTCCCTGCCTCCTTTTCCTTCCTTCAAATGTGTTTTTATTGATTTTAGAGACAGAAAAAGGGAGAGATAAACATCGATTGGTTGCCTGCTGACGGGATCAAACCCGCAACCTGGGTATGTGCCCTGACCAAGAATCGAGCCAGCAACTTTTCCGTGCATGGGGTGATGCTCAACTAACTGAGGCACAGAGGCCAGAGCTGGGCTCACTTTTCTTCCGTGAAGACAGGTTCTTCCTCATGCCTCAAAACTTCCCTTTTTTCTTCTCAATCTCTTTCATGTATAAATTAAACTGTTTAAACATATAGTTATAGATGCTATTTCTCATTTAGTAGTTCATTTGCTCATGGAGATTCAGACTACTCCTTCCCACTGAATGCTATTAGTGCTGGGATGGGGGACAGGTGGTGGGGAGTTCCTGTCACCAGAGACACTGACACAGAGCATGCTGAGTAGCAACCTAATGTTCTCTTCCAAAAGGCTCTCTACTGGCAGGGCTCCTGAACAGGGTCGGGGTGCCCACTGGGTCACCAACAACCCTGGGATGGAGGTGGAGTGGGTCATTTCTTGATTATACACAGTGAAAGGGACCTGAAATAGCAGAAATAACTGATATTTATAAAAAACATTTCAGGCAGTAATTATAACCTCTTACTCCAGTAAGCCTTGTGCAGAGCTGCTCAGAGCCAAGGTTAGTTACCTGGTTTCCTCACCATCCCCATTCCAAGGTTGACAGGCAGTCAGGGAGTGAGGGAGGGAGGGGTGGAGGTCTGGAGATCCGGAGAGCCTTAGGATGCACTCCTGTGGCCTGGCTGCTTCTCCTGAAGCACTGGGGAGCCCACCACTGTGCAGCTGGCATTTCAAGAGCATACTGACCCCAAGAAGAATGAGCTAGCCTCCTAGTGGTGACATTTAAATTTAAGCATGTTGATTCTGCCTCTCACCGACTCCTCCCTCTCACCAACCATGATAAAAGAATAAATGTCATTATTAGAACAAGTCAGTTAAAGAAAAAGAAGACAGATGGTTTCCCCAGGCAGCATGTGAAAAATTCCATAGGAGCCACATAACTACAACCTAAGGCATGGCACCCAACATCTGTACCTTGGCTGATGTGGGGCAGTTACTTACTGATTTCTGGAGGGGAGGGAGTACTTGGTAGAGGCAGTGACAGAGACATAAAATCATGACATATCTGTGATGTGCCAAGAGTGCGGATCAGCCACAGAGCAATGCTTTTGCAGCGAACTGGGACCGGGTCCGTTAGAAAGCAAATGCACATGCTCTCGGCTGGGCCAAAGCACTCAAGAAGAGGCCACTGTGGTTGTATTTAGTCAGACTGAGGCAAAGAAAAGAGGTAAACGTGAATTATCTCTTGGTAAGGCTACAAGGTAAATTAAAAAAAAAGTGTATTATCTTAAATTTTCTATATAAACATTTTAAATAAAAATAACTTACTTTTGTTTTTTAAAAATGAAACATGCCCTAACTGGTTTGGCTCAGTGGATAGAGCCTCGGCCTGCGGACCAAAGGGTCCCAGGTTCGATTCTGGTCAAGGGCATGTACCTTGGTTGCGGGCACATCCCCAGTAGGGAGGTGTGCAGGAGGCAGCTGGTTGATGTTTCTCTCTCATCAATGTTTCTAACTCTCTATCCCTTTCCCTTCCTCTCTGTAAAAAATCAATAAAATATATTATTAAAAAAAAAAAAAAAGAAACAAAATTCAGGCACTTGTTTCATAGCTGCCTCACTCAGGGGTGGGTCTGTGATGTAAGGGGAACCACTTCCCCACCTTTGCTGGTCCAGGGGCACTGTCAGCAAGAGGCTCCCTCATGAGTCAATCAAACCCCATTCTCACTTTAGGTGCCCCCATGCTCCCCTCACTTCTTACTCTGAAAATTTTCAAACCTATAGAAAAGTTGAAAGAGGAGGACAATGAATACCTTCACCTAGATTTGCTAAGTGATTTTGCACACACTTGATAGATATAAGCTTTACATATTATCTTTTTTTCTGACTCAATTGTAGATATCAAGATCCTTCATCCCTTAAAATTTCAACACGTACGTCCTAAGAACAGGGACATTTTCCTAAATGACTACAGTGCTTTAATAGCTTTCAAGAATTTAGTATTGATGTGCCAATATTATGTATCAGTGCATATCTTCTAAGATCAATTCCTTAAATTTCCAAAGTGTCCTTCATTGCTGTTTTTGTTTAGGTTTGTTTTCCTGATTTAGTTTCTATTCTTTTTTTTTCAATTACAGTTTACATTTAATACTAGAGGCCTGGTGCATAAATTTGTGCATGAGTGGGGTCCGGCCGGCCCGCCCCAAGGGGGCTGACTGGGGCTGGGCTGGCAGGGGGGAGGGGATGCGGGAGGTTGGCTGGCCGGCTCCACCCAATTGAGGTGGGGGTGCTGATCCGGGCTGGGCTGGCTAAGGAGGGGGGCTGTGGGAGGTCGGCCAACCCTGATCCCGATTGGGGGGGGGGGTGATCAGAGATGGGGCCGGCCGGGGGGTGGGGTGGGGCATGGGAGGTTGGCCGTGGGGGTGCCGATCAGGGGCAGGGGCGACTGGGGGGAGGGGCCACGGGAGGTTGGGGGGGCTGATCGGGCTCCCATTGGGCTGGTTGGCTGCTGCAGTGTGCATCATAGCGACTGGTCTTCCGCCATTCAGGTCGCTTGGCTTTTATATATATAGATTATTTAGTATTAGTTTCAGGTGTATAGCACAGTGGTTATTAGACAATTGTATAATTTACAAAGTATTCCCCTTGATATTTCCTGTAACCACCTGGCACCATACATAGCTATTATAATATTATTAACTATGTTTCCTATGCTATATTTTACATGCCCGTGACTATTCTGTAACTATCAATCTGTACTTCTCAATCCCTTTACCTTTAGCTTCTATTCTTAAAAATACACAGTGGCTTGCTCCTGCTCAGCCTGACTGCACACTGCAGTGGGAGTCAGGACATTAGTATCCCTCACAGCCTCCAACAAAAGGCCCATCTCTGTGGGGAGCATGTGGAGCGTGAAGTGCTTGGATTCTAGGAGTGGGGTCCATGACCTGTCATTTACGCTGATGGGGAGAAGCTCCTTGTGTGCCCCAGGCCTTCGAGATCCAGGGAGAGGCTGTGGTCAGTGAGATATGTTACCCAGATGACGGCCTTGGCATAGCCAGCTTGGGTAGTCTGGCCCTCAGCATTTTGCTAGGAGGTTTCATTAATCAATAGAGAAACTGTGGAGAGACCTGACCACAAAAGCAACCACAGATGGAAGTTTTTGACCAACGGGCTAAATGTCTGCACTGAGGCAAAGTGAACCTTGGACCACTATTCTCCTTCTTGACAGAACCCCTTCAGGACCCCTAAGGCAGTGTTTAAGAACCCACACACATACCCAGAAGAATTTCTCAGTTTAGTACTAAAGCTACTGTGTGGGAACCATAGCAGGGAGCACCTGATGCCAGGTCTCTGCGGGGAGTTGGATACAAGATCCCAACCATAACCCAGAGTGGCCTGGCTGGGACATGGGGAAGCTCTGCAGATGGCTGGGGTGGGATGGGAGGCCTGACTCATGAGTCAATCAAACCCCATTCTAGGTGTCCTTCTAGGAGAATGAACAGATGCAGAGCTGGCATGGCCCAGGGGGGACGAACAACTCAAGAATGAGATGAGAACCGAAAGATTGGTTTCCTCTGATTTGCAAAGTTATTAAATGAGGAACTAGATCAAGCCAGGAGGAGAGAACTGGACACAGACCAGCCATGGCCTCCCTGGAAGTCAATGTAGAGGGAAGACTCAAATCTAAGCCTTGGGAAGCCTTGTAAAGAAGGTACAGAATGTTCTGAGGAAGTTTTTCATTAAAAAAAAGGGAGCTGAATGTAGCTGGACCTTCACCTTAGACAGGAGGGTAAGTGTGTGCCCACGGCTAGACAATGGAGATGGAGTAGGAAGGCTCCCCATCCAAGCCTTGGCTGGACCCTGGGAACAAACAACTCTTTTCCTGTCACTCTGGGCACTGGTGGGTGCTACTCACGTGGGATTTCTGAGGACAAAAGAATGAATGGACAACACTGGGCTGCTTCCTAAAGACAGAATGAATCTTTGGGCATGAAATGTCTGTCTTCACCAGAACTGAACACAGGAACTCTTGCCATAGAAGCCAATAACCCCTAGCTGCTCACTGAAAAAGCCTGAGATAGGTCCCTTCTGTGTCTTCTACTTGGACCCCTGAGCAAGGCTCAGGATTTGTATGTGTCTGCTGGGAGCTCGTATCCACCCCTGCTTTGAGATTTGCTTTCCTTTCCTCCACCTCATCAAAGACCAACACTCAACAGAGGATAGGAGTCGAGATTCCCAACCCCTCTGAAGCCCTACTGCTGACCAGGCCTGCGTACCTCTCGCTTGGACTTCTGGGAGACCCTCTCGAGGATGTCGTCGCTGGAGAGGTCAGAGTCCTCGGAGAAACTCAGCTGGTCCCGCAGCTGCAGCTCTGTGGGGATGGAAAGAAGGGGCAGAGTGAAGACTGTGACCAGTCCATAAGTACCACGGTGCTTTCCTGATTTCTACATTCACAAGAATAGCCTGGGGGAGTGGGGTGGAGGTTTGTTTTCTTTCTAGTTTGAGTGACTCTTTTCCCATATTGGGGAGCCAGGAACTTGGATGCTCACATCTGTTCAGACAGGATGGACCAACACGGAATAGATGGTGCCCAAAGAGACTGCCTGGAACTCCCAGCAGCATTGCCCTCCGTTAGGTTGATGCGACTTTAGGAAGTGCATAAACCTCCCGTCTCCCTTAACCAGCTTCAGGCTGTTTTTTAGAATTATCCTATTAAGTGGAGTATGTTCTGTGAACCCATGGTTCAGTTTTCTTCTCCCTACCCTGTCAGCACAGCTCTAAGAACGCTTGGGGGAGCGGCATGGGGAAGGGACCTTTCGAGAAGAACCAAATGACTGAAGAACGCACGCCTTATGCTCTGCCCCAGGAGGGGTCCCTTGGTGCTGATGTACCTGCTCTCACTATTGGAGACATCCTGTGCTTGCTAGAGGCCACAGTGGCACCACTGGAAGGGGTGCTGGAACAGGACTTGTTGTCACCCTTCTTCTTCTTGTCCTTCTTATACCCTGAGAAGACTGACTTCCACAAGGACCTGGGCTTGGCGGCTGCTTCCTCCAGGAGATCTGGGCTGTGTTTCTCCAGGGGCCGGCCCTCACCTTTAGATTTTCTCTCCTTGTTTCTACGGGGGGAGAAGAGTGACGATCTCTTCTTGCTCTTCCCACTAGAGCCCTCGGATGAAGTGACTGAACCATCTGGGGCCCCTGAGTCCAATGTGGGGGAGAGGAATTCCTCACTAGTGTTTTTGTGCTTCAAGGTGGGCTCCTCAGGGCCTTTGTGCACTGGGTGTTTAGGGGATTCAAGGCCAAGGGCTTTGCCTTTAGAGGGCATTGAGGAGGCTTTGTGGCAGGTGCCTCCTGGGGGACTGGAGGTCTCAGCCCCAATTTCCATCTCCTTCATCCGACTCAGCTGTTTGGCCATGGCATCTCTCAACACCTGGCTCTTTATAGACTTCTCTCTGGCTCGCATGCGCTCTTCAGCCAGCTCCTTGGCTTCTGGAGAGACTACAGGTAGCCCCCTCTTCTGCAGTTGGACCCCGCTCTCTAGAGTAAGTAACCTGACATTCTCCTTGGCTAGGGGTGGGGGAAGGGCCTTGTCAGAGAGGGGCCAGCAGGAAGGGGGTGTGAAGAACTGCAGATCTGAGTCCTCGGTCTTGTCATCATATGTATCCTCCACGTCATCAGCAAAGGGGATCTCAGCTACACTCTCTACAAATGACTTCCGTACCTCTTCCCAGGGCAGCTGGGCAGGCTCTCGGGGGGGCCGCATAAAGGTGGCAGGTGTGGGGGGTGGGATTACGGAGGCCTTGGGCTTGGTTTCCTTCTGCCCATATATCTGATATGGCTCCCTTTGAAGAGTTGCGGGCTCCTCGTCCTGGGGTGGGGGTGGAGGCGGGCTTGAGGGTGGAGTAAGCATGGTGGAGTCTGAGGTATTGAAGCTCTGGCTGCCCAAGGTCTTCATGTTGGAGGAGCTCCCATGAAGGCCCAGCCCAGAACTGCTGGACAGGTCTCTCCGCTCCTCATGGGAGCTTTTTAGCTCTCTGTCAGATGGGGACTTGGGGGTTGGCAGAGAGGGCTGGTCACTATCCGACTTTGCCAGTCTCTTAGATGGAGGTTTTAGAAGATGGAGCCCCTCATCCTGAGGAGACTTCTCAACTGAATAGGATTTTAGGGACAATGGCTTAAAGGCAGGTGAGGGGAAGCTGTGCTTGGGCCCCTTGCTCCGATCCACGGGTGTGAGCCCCAGGCTGCGGCGAATTTCAGCGCTCTTCATCCAGAACTCTGCCACCAAGTCGTTTGGCTTCAGGGCCTCGTCCATAGCAAGAGGGCTGCCCAGTCTGTCCTTGGCATCCCCTTGGTTCTTCACGTGGAGGGGGGTGAGGGGGGTTGATGTTTTCGCTGGAACAGGCTGGAAGCATATGGGGGACTTGGTAGGGGATGGAATGGTGGCCTCACAGGAAGGTTTAGGCTGGGAGCAAATGGGGTGCGGAGTGGGGGTGATGGTGGAAGTGGCCAATGGGGACAGGCCCTGTGAACTAACTGGAGAGGTATGTGTCCTGGCTTCCAGCAGAGCTGCTGGCTGGGACTGGATGGGAGAGTGCACAGCTTTCTGATCAGTGGGAACTTCTGCTTTGAACTTTGCTTTGGAAACCAAAAGCTCTCGGAAAAGGTGCTCCTTGGGCAATTTCACTTTGATAGCCTCAGAGGGGAGTGGAATCCGGGCCCCCTACAGAAAAAGAAGATAGATGGAAGCTGTTTAGAGGGCAGGGACTTAATGATCAGCAAAGATCCCTTAGGGAGCTTTCTCTCTCAAAGAGCCTGTGCTTGCTGAAATAAATTCCTCTCTCCATCCTTTAAGCTATTAATCAAATTGCTCCAGGAGAACCTTTCTCACTTTCTGTAATTTTTAGAACCACTTCCTTAGTTGAACAGACTCAGTTTTCAGGGTTTGGCTCACCTCAAAGACATCCTATATTCTATGTGCACTGAAGTGAGTGCTGGTCAGAGGACACTAATGAATTCAGCTCCCACTCCTCAAGAGCTCCAAGATCTCTGATGTACGAACATAGTGGCTAACATGGTAAGAAGATTAAAAACATCTATTTTTTTTACAGTCTGTATTATAAACTGTCCTCCCCAGGAAGCTCAAAGATCCAGATATTCCTGCATGTATCCTTATGCCTTGTCCTCCCATCACTTGTCTCAGTAAAGCTCCTCCATCTCAGACGTGAAATCACCAAATTCATCTCGCTTCTTAGAATCTCAAAGATCAGAGCAAGCAGATCCAATCTTCAGTTTGGACTTCCCTCCCTGATCTTTTCTCCAGAAAGTATTTTCTAAAACATGTTCCATGGGACATATTATTACAATGTGTTTATATAGCATTCTTTAGTCTGTGGTTCACATACCACTGGTAATCTGGGTAAGTATTTTTAATTTTAAAAATCATAGTTCAGCCCAGCCAGTGGTTGAGCATCGACCTATGGACCAGGAGGTCATGGTTTGATTCCTGGTCAGGGCACATGCCCTGGTTGCGGGCTCGATCCCCAATAGGGGGTGTGCAGGAGGCAGCTGATCAATGAATCTCTCTCAATATTGATATTTTTATCTTTCTCTTCCTCTCCCTTCCTTTCTGAAATCAATAAAAATATATTTGAAAAAATAAAATTAAAATTCATAGCTCATTTTAACAGAATATTAAGAAAAATGCATCTGTCATATAGAACCAATGATTCCACATATATTCTTGCTTTAACTTAAAAATAAACTTATTTTTGAAATGGTATGATATGTGGACAAGACGAAGTATGATACAATAATGGGATGACCCAGGTTTGGAATTGGTGCAGAACAGGGTGAGGGAGATGCTACCTTGTCCCCACAGGCGAGAACTGAGCTGGAACCCCACTCCTGTTTTCAACAACCCCACTTAGCACAAGAAGCCAAAAAAGGGGCTCACACTCTTACCTCTCCCACGGGGCTGTGGGCAGGAGAGAACAGAACAGCTTGTTCCGAAGGGGACCAGGTGGGACTGGAGACTTGGGAGGGAGCTAAAAAGAAGAGACAGAGGATTGACAAGAAGAAAAACTCCCATTCCCACTGAGAGTGCCTCTTCTAGCCAGCTCTGCGGTGGGGTTGAACCATTGGTTGGCCACCTGCAGAGATGGAAAGAAGAAAAAAGGGAATGTGCTTCCCCAGGGCGTCCGTATGCAACCTCTGCTTGTGTCATGTGTATGGTCTGTGACAAAAAGATTTGAGCTGTATCTGCTACCCTTTCATAGCTCCAAATTACACACAGAAAGGGGCTGTTGGTAAAGCCACGTGCAGGGCCTGTGCATAGGGGGAGGAGGCCATTATCTGAGGCTGGTATGATGTGTGCCCTCTCTGCTTCATGACCTGTACCTGTGGTGCCACTAGTCCTCAAGTGGCTCTCAGCAGGAATTCTAGGAGTGGCTTCTCCTGTGACAGTACACTTACCTCTCTTGTTATGCTGTAGAGTGGCAGGGGGTCGTTCGTCCTGGTTTTCTGAGACGTTCAGCTCCAGATCCGCTTCTACCACCTCTTGGTGCTGCTTGCAAAACTCTGTTTCAGCATCCGATGGGCTGTCATCAGACCAGTGCTGATCTGGCAAAGGGAAAGAAGAACACGGAACCTGAGTGAGGCCTGCTCCTTTCCAGTCTCCTGCCTTCCTTGGAGAACAGAATGACGACTGTAGCCTGGACCAGGCTCTGTTCCCCAGTGGGGCCCTGCTTGCTGGTCCTCACCCAGTTTCTGATACTCAGCCAAAAGCACATCCTCTGCAACACGGTACTCTACTATCTTCTGAAATACAGCCAGATGACACATGATAGGCCGTGACAGAAAGGAAAACCGTGGGCATGCTTGTGGAGGGCAGGCCTTGCTGCTGGGCCCACCACCCACTTGCATTTCTCTCCTGTTAGCACTGCCTAGCCCTGCTACCCCACCACCACAGCTGAGGCCATGCTTCCTTCACTATCTTACCTGGACTGCTCCTCTCATTTTTCCCAGCCTAATCCTTTGCCCTTGTTTCCCAACCAACCAGGCTATAATTCTTAAAATACCATCTCTTTGTATCTAGCTTTCAGAGGGCATCTACTGGATTAAAGGCTCTGTATAAAGCCTCAAATCTGCTGAGTTTCTCACCCACAACTTAATGAATGCAGGCGATGTTGAATGGTGGCTTATGGGAGAGTGAAATAACAGGTATTCAAGTTAGTGACCGAAAATGGAATGAACCAGGAGATCTATCTGCTGCCTCCCCTGAGCTCCCTGCTTTTGATTAATGTGTATTGTTTTTATCTTTCCTGAGTTCAAAGCACTCTGGCGTGTCCTGCAGTGGGGAACAGGGTGTTCACCATGGTGGAGAGGGGAGGCTCTGGGGTCCCCCATACCATCATCCAGCTCAGCACCAGTGTCACCCGTGTCCCCATTCTCTGCTGCCTCCCCTTCTATTTCTGCCGGCTCCGAATCCACATCTTCCTCCAGGCCATCCTCATCAAATGGGACTGTAAAGCAGAAACAGTCAAAGGAAGAAAAGGAAAGACAGGATAGGGAGACTGCCTTTGCAGGTGGGAAAGCAGCAGTGCTTCTCCCCAGGCTGTGATGCGAAGACCACTAGAAGGGGCAGGACAAATTCTGGCAGAAGTGGCAAATTCGCTTGGGATAATTTAGAAATACTTTTCAAAAGCATAACAGGGAGGGATAAGGGGATATGTAAAGTTCATTTTCTGGATTCAGGACTAGCACTAATGAACTTCATTTCTCCTGAGGAACCAGCCCCTAAAACACACACACACACACACACGCACACGCACACGCACACGCACACGCACATTCACAGCTGCTTCAACCATCTGGACACTTAGAACTTACACTAACAGTCTGAAGAAAAAGCAATTAAGAAAGCAATGAGCACTGCTTTAAAGGATGCTGTGACATGCCAGTGCTATCCAAGACTAACAGTACTCACTTGTCAGGAGTCCTAATGGCTTCTTCTAGTGTTCGAAACACAGCAAACCACAAATCATTGTTTTTGTTTTATTTTAATTAGAAAACTTTATTATTGAAAGTATTACATATGCCCCCCCACCCCACCCCGCATCAACCTCCTCCAGTCCACCCCTGGCCCCTGCCCCAGGTTCTCACTACCCCACTGTCTGTGTCCATGGGTTATGCATATATGCATACAAGGTCTTTGATTGATTCCCTCCCATCTACCCACTCTCCCCAACCTTTCCTCCAAAATTCTGCACTCTGTTCCATGCTTCCTTGTCTCTGGATCCACTCTGTTCATCAGCTTATTTTGTTACTTAGATTCCACATATGAATGAGATCATGTGATACTTGTCTTTCTCTGACTGACTTATTTCACTTAACCTGATTTCACTCTCCAGGTCCCTCCATGCTATCTCAAAGGGTAAGAGATTCTTCATTTTTGCTGCTGCATAGTATTTCATGGTATAAATGTACCAGAGCTTTTTTATCCACTCATCTACTCATAGGCACTTGGGCTGTTTCCAGATCTTAGCTATTGTAAATTGTGCTCCTCCAAACACAGGAATGCATACATTCTTTCTGATTGGTGTTTCGGGTTGCTTAGGCTACATTCCTAGAAGTGGGATCACTGGGTCAAATGGCACTTCCATATTTAATTTTTTGAGGAAACTCTATACTGTTTTCCATAAAGGCTGCACCAATCAGCATTCCCACCAGCAGTGTACTAGGGTTTCCTTTTCTCCACATTCTCGCCAGCACTTGTCATTTATTGATAGCAGACATTCTGATACCTCATTGTCGTTTTAATTAGTATCTCTTGGATGATTAGTGACTTAGAGCATTTTTTCATGTCTCCTGGCCATCTGTGTATCCTCTTTGGAGAATTTTCTATTTAGGTCCTTTGCCCATTTTTTAATTGGACTGTTTGTCTTCCTTTTGTTAACTTGTATGAGTTCCTTATATAGTTTGGATATTAACCCTTTAGCAGATGTATCGTTGCCAAATATGTCCTCCCATACAGTGAGCTTTCTTTTATTTTGTTGATGGTTTCTTTTGCTGTGCAGGAACTTTTTATTTTGATGTAGTCCCATTTATTTATTTTCTCCTTAGTTTCCTTTGCCCTAGGACCGTGGTCAGCAAACTGCAGCTCGAGAGCCACATGCGGCTCTTTGGCCCCTTGAGTGTGGCTCTTCCTAAGCCTTAGGAGTACCTTAATTAAGTTAATAACAATGTACCTACCTATATAGTTTAAGTTTAAAAAATTTGGCTCTCAAAAGAAATTTAAATCGTTGTACTGTTGATATTTGACTCTGTTGACTAATGAGTTTGCCGACCACTGCCCTAGGAGATGTATCTATCAACATATTGCTACAAGAGATGTCTGAGATTTTGCTGCCTACAGTTTCTTCTAGGATTTTCATGGTTTCCTGACTTACATTTAGGTCTTTTATCCATCTTGAGTTAGTTCTTGTGTATGGTGTAAATTGGTGGTCTAGTTTCATTTTTTTTGCATGTTTCTGTCCAATTTTCCCAGCACCATTTATTGAAGAGACTGTCTTGACTCCATTGTATGCTCTTATCACCTTTGTCAAATATTAATTGTGTGTAATGGCTAGGTTGATTTCTGGGATTCTCTGTTTTGTTCCATTGATCTACATGCCTGTTCTTGTGCCAGCATCAGCTGTTTTGATTATGGTGGCTTTGTAGTATAACATGATATCTGGTATTGTGATTCCTCCAACTTTTTTCTTTCTTAAGATTGCTGCAGCTATTCAAAGTCTTTTTTGGTTCCATATACATTGTTGGAGTATTTGTTATAGATCTGTAAAATATGGTGTTGTTATTTTGGTAGGGATTGCATTGAATCTGTAACTTTCCTTGGGCAGTATAGACATTTTAATGATGTTGATTCTACCAATCCTAGAACATGGAATATTCTTCCACTTGTTTATATCTTCTCTCTCTTTTTTTAGTGTCCTATCGTTTTCCAAGTACAAGTCTTTTACCTCTGTGGTTAAATTTATTCCTAAGTATCTTAATTTTTTGTTGCAATGATAAACGGGATGCTTTTTTTTTTAGTTTCTCTTTCTGAGAATTCATTATCTACATATATCCTATATATTAAGAGAGGAATATGCTAATTAGCCAGGACGCCCTCACAGGTAACGTCCGGCAGGAGCGGGTGGGCGTGGCTGCATGCCACACAAGGCCAGGCACGTGAGGCTGCGTCAAATAAAATAAAATGCATTCACATGTCCGAAGACGACAGGGTTCAAGGAGGAAGGGCTCCAGTTTCGTTTTCTCAGCACCCAGCTAGGAGGCCTCCCTGGGGTGGCTCTCCCCTCTGAGCCTTGCGCAAGATGAGCGCTCCGCTCTGGCCCGGGAGCCCCAAAGGGAGACAGAGCGAAGTGCTTTCCCTCTGGGACCCCGCTCTTCCTGGGAGTCCGGCGCGTAGAGCGCTCTCCCTGGGAACACGGAAATCCGCCTCCCGGGGTGACTGCGTGGCAGCCAGGCCTGGCGAGCAGTAGAGAGGGCGACCTACCTGGAGGCCACACAGCTGCCATAGTTGAAGTCGCCCTTGATGGAGGAGCGGAGGTAGCGGGGATCAGAGTCGGCCATGTCAGCAATGGAACCCCAGCTCCCTGCTGAATGACTAGAGCACATGGACCTCAACAGTCCTCAGTCACTTCCTGAGCAGCAGTCAGCCCCGACCAGGGATCAAACCCGAAACCTGACAGAATGGAACCCAGACCTGTGGCAGAGGAGCTCCGACCCACAACAGGGGCCAGGGCAGCCAGACGGGTTTTGTTGAGGGGCCCTGACAGGCAGCCCGCAGCGCAGTGGGTTAGAACCTCCTCCTGATACAACAAGGTTGCCGGTTGAATCCCTGGTCAGGGCACAGACAAGAAGCAACCAAAGAGAGCATAATAAGTGGAACAGCACACTGGTATTTCTCTTGCTCCCTTCCTCTCTCTAAAATAATCAATCAATAAAAATTAAAATAAAAAATAAACCCTCTGGCCCTAACCAGTTTGGCTCAGTGGATAGAGCGTCGGCCTGTGGACTGAGGGTTCCTGGGTTCGATTCCGGTCAAGGGCATGTACCTTGGTTGAAGGTACATCCCCAGTGGGGGGTGTGCAGGAGGCAGCTGACGCTTCTCTCTCATCGGTGTTTCTAAATCTCTATCCCGCTCCCTTCCTCTCTGTAAAAAAATCAATATATTAAAAAATAAAAATAGACCCTCTGGCTTGCAGAGTTGCTAAAACAGAAAGCGAAGTCCCATTTCTTCCTGTTCATTCAACAAATTCTTCATATGCTCCGTCAATAATCACACTGGGAATGGGTGTTTGTTTGTTTGTTTGTTTTGGTTAATCCTCACCTGAGGACATTTTTGCATTGATTTTTTTTTTTTTTTTTTTAACAGAGAATGGAAGGGAGGGAGAAAGACAAAAACTAATGTGAGAGACATCAGTTGGTTGCCTCTTGCTGAATCCCCGACCAGGGGCCCGGATTGAGCCTGCAACCCAGGTACGTGCCCTTGATTGGAATCCAACCCGGTACCCTTCAGTCTGCCTGCAGAAGCACTATCCACTGAACCAAACCAGCATTTTTTTTTCTTTTTAAGTTCTCCTCTAAGGATATGTTCTTTTCGTTGATTCTAGAGAGAGAGGAAGGGAGAGGGAAAGAGAAAGAGAAAGATCGATCAGTTGCCCAAGCAATCCGACAGGGATGGAACCCACAACCTGTGTATGTGTCCTCATCTGGAATCAAACCCATGACCCTTTGGTGCATGGGAGGACACTCTAACTACTGATCTACACCAACCAGGGCCTGGAGGTACATTGAAAAATTCTTTTTCAGATCTGCCCTAGCCAGGTGGCTCAATTGGTTGGAGTCTCAACCTGTACACCAAAGGGTTTCCTGTGAATTCTAGGTTAGGGCACATAGTTAGGTTTAGGTTAGATCCCAGTGGGTCAGCAGGTGCAGAGGCAGCCTACTGGTATCTCTGTCACATGGATGTTTCTCTCTCTAAAAATCAATTTAAAAAACATCCTTAGGTGAGAATTAAAATATATATATACATATATATATATTAAAAAAATTTCAGATCTAAAATTTGATTTGGTTCTTTATAAATTTTATTTTTCATTTACATTCAATATCCTATCCTATATAATAAAACCCTAATATGCAAATTGACTGAATGGTGGAATGACCGGTCACTATGAACTGACCACCAGGGGGCAGATGCTCAATGTAGGAGCTGCCCCCTGGTGGTCATTCAGAAGCCGGGCTCACGGCTGGCAAGTGCAGTGTAGGTGGCGGGAACCTCTGTGGCAGCACTAAGGAGCAGCGAGCCGAGCGGTAGGGAGCAGCAAGCAGGCGGATGGTAAGGAGCAAGGGGTCCCGACTATGAGAAGGCACAGGCCGGGCTGAGGGACCCCCACCCCACGCCCAGTGCACGAATTTTGTGCACTGGGCCTCCAGTCCACACACACACACACACACA